GCAGTAGCAGTAGCAGTAGCAGTAGCAGTAGCAGTAGCAGTAGCAGTAGCAGTAGCAGCAGAAGTAGCAGTACTGTAGCAGTAGCAGTAGCAGTAGCAGTAGCAGTAGCAGTAGCAGTAGCGGCAGCAGTAGCAGTAGCAGTAGCAGTAGCAGTAGCAGTAGCAGTAGCAGTAGCAGTAGCAGTAGCAGTAGCAGTAGCAGTAGCAGTAGTGGTGGCCATGGTAGTGGTAGTGGTAGTGGTAGTGATAGTTGTAGTGGTAGTAGTAGTAGTAGTAGTAGTAGTAGAAGTAGTAGTAGTAGTAGTAGTAGTAGTAGTAGTAGCTGTAGTCGAAGTAGTCCTAGCAGTAGTAGTGGTAGTGTTACTGGTCGTGGTGGTGGCGGGGTAGTGGCAGTGGTTCTTGGTCGCAGCGTGCCTGTTCGCTTGCGTAGAATAGTATAAGGAACATGCTGCATGAGCATGCTTTGAGTTGTCCGCGAGCTTGTCAACCCTGATGCTAGACGAAATAAAATCGATGTTTGATGCTCTTTTCATCTCTCCTAATTAATTTACGTGCCTTTGCCAGCAAAGACTCACGCTTGCCAGCCCCCTGCAAGGAAGGGTAAAGGTGCGGCACCCAGCGTGGCCGCTGTGAGACTGGAATGACGGGTTGTGTTTGGATTTCGCGGGAGTGTCAGGAGCCGAGGGTTGGCCAGCTCAGCATGGATCGTAAGCTCTACATCACGATGACCCTCAGAATGCCAGGAAGAGAAACATGTGAAGAGAGTCAGACGAAGCGCAGGGAGGATAAATGTTCTTGCCACTTCTCAGGGCCACAGACTGCATCTTAAACGGCACGAACCGGCTCTGAAACACCGCATTTTATCATGCCTGTGACAATTCGTGCCGCCCAGGGAAGGATCGTGGAAAGGACAAGGCGAAGCAGCCCGACAAGAAGAGAGATGAGGACCCTTTATGGTTTCGGGCAAGCAGAGCTGCTTGCCAGGTCCAGACGGAAGCCTTACACCCCGGCAACAGCCACGACCGGAGTAACGAGCCATAAACCTGCTATCATCAGCTTGATGGTCGTTTACAGCACTTTGGCCGACGTTGCAGTTGAGAGAATCCCAAAAGGGGGCATACCCGAGATATTTGGCACACGGTTCTTCACTAAGTTTCGGACGGATTGGAAAGTGCTAGGACTTTGGTAGTTGTTGCTTTCCCTTGGTTCTTGGAGGTTGCTAGCTGGGGCGCAGGATTGCAGGGTATATTCAGCGGTCATAGGCACTTCATGCCCTGAGGCTTTATCGCAGAAGGTTTCATGAAGTCAAGAATATACTTCCCGTCCGCAGTGTGCAGCTATCTAATGATCTTTTTCGTGGATTCACGATGATGTGGCAACCTTCCCGCATGGCTGTTGCAAAGGAAGCTTGCGATTCAAAATGTGAGGACCTCCGAGAGCAAGTCCGAACATGGCTCAATGAGAGGCCCTGGCATGAAATGTGCTTTGACATTTCCCATCTGCGAAACGTGAAGCATCAGCAGCAACAAATGTACGGCTCTGGAGCCACAAGCCAGCATGACCTCCAATCCAAGATTGCTTCGCTCCTCACTTATTATCCGTGTCTGTCGACTACGTTTCGCACGCTTTTCGACGTTCGGCCAGCAGCATTATCGTGCCGGCCTAGAAATAGCTTCATGGGTAGCGTTACGCACTATCAGGTGTCACCATTGGACCATGGCTGTGGCAACACTCATCACTCATCATCGGTGTCACACTTCCCTCACCACCAATTGCATCATCAGTCGTCAGTACTCGTCTTAGCTGTCGAAACGACCGCGGCTGTCAGCCCAGCCATCATGCTGCGGCCAAGACCAGCAGCTCCAACGCGACACGACCACACGACCACGATTGCTACCAGCATCAACAACGGCCCCGACACCCAATCATCAGACTCAGAGCATCACTTTTTTGTCTTCCTAGCACTTATCAGTTCTGAGATCCCACAATTGAGGTCCCTGACCTGTGTATCTTCTTGATGCTGCAAGTACTCTTGCTTGCTTATCAACCCTCCCCGGCATGCTTCCGTGCAGGGCTCTCTCTGTCGGGATTGGTTGCAACGTGGCCAATTGCTCGTAAGGGCGAGATACTCTAGGATGTAGGGTACGTGCTACACAGTTCATGGTAAACCCTAACCCCCCAGGTACCTACTGTACTAGAGCCCCTAGGGCCCTATATAGTAGGTACCTGGGGGGTTAGGGAAAGCTCCAAGCTGTAGTAGCTGTAGTGGAATCCGGCACCTGGCGAAGGTTGGAGAACACCGGCGGCCGCGTGCGGCAAAAGGAGCTTGGCTCGGTACAGTTTAGGGTTTAGGGTTTAGGGTTTAGGGGCGCAATGAGTGTCCTTTCTGACCCTTCAGCTTCCAAGGGCTAAGGGCAGTGGTCGGGCATGACTTGGAAGTACAGTAACACCATTACTTGTCGTTCCTGTGATAATTGCCAAGAGTTGAAAGCTTGCTGAAGCTGCTCATGATCTTCTTCACGTATGCTTATGGCTGAACACGAGCCGCCCATTCCTTGTTGGCCCTAAGCCTCAGCACCCCAGAACCCAGGACCCCCAACACGATGAACCCCTTTTCACCTATGAACCATAAACCGGCCTCGAACATTCGCAGGAGCTCTCTGATGAGATTCAGGACTCCTTTGGTGTCCGACCCGGCAAATTCCGAGCGCTCTTCAACCAAACTCTGCAGCAGCCGGGGCCCTAGCTTCTCATAAAATGGGACTCTAGTCTACCTCGATGCTTGGATGTCGGAGTGTACTTTCTGTCATTCATTCGAGAGAGCAGCTGTTGCTTTTGCGATGTTGTTGCTGCCATTTGTTATCGTTCATTGGAGTTTTGCGGTATCCGTACTCTGGCATTGCGTTCGGAATGGTCGTGGCTCTGACTTTCCTTGCTCTGGAATGGACTACATGTATATCGATTATCACTTCCAAGCTTCGCAATGCTGGCACTCAATCTGAATGGAAATGGGTTTCGGAATAAAGAGCGGTCGTCGTCACAAACACCGGCAAGTGTGCGAGGCAGAAGACTTGTTCATGAAAGGGAATGGTAGCAATGACGGGAGCAACTGCGCACCTCATCTTAATGCCCGAAAGAGCCGAAATGCTTCTTAATGTTTCTCGTGCTGTGGTCGCTGGTCCGCAAATCAGATCATGTACAGAGACATGAGACATATAAGCCGAAGAAGAGGACTACTCGGGGACCTGGCGATGTTGCAACAACAAGCATCACGATGACTTACCACAACGAAGCATCATCACAGTCGTCGTCATCATCATCATTAGCAGCAGCCGTCAGAACGGCACGGTTATCATCAAACACAGCAACATCAGCACCATCACATTGGCACCGTCACCACCACCACCGCCACCCCCACCACCACCACCACCACCACCACCACCACCACCACCACCACCACCACCACGTATCTGGACGAGTCAAACAACCCCGCCCACACCAAGCAACAGCCAATAAGCGACAACCAGCAACTAAGAGTCTGCGATCAACAGCCAATGACTGCCAGGTCAGCAGTATGATGATCAGCAGCAGTAACAAGAATGGCAGCAACAAGAGCGACAGCGTTCACAACAGCAACATCGACAATGGGAAACCGGCACAGTGACAGGCACATGTTCAACATAAAGTTGCAGCAGCCAAGTCAACAACAAGAAGATCAACGATGGCAACCGTTGTATCAGCATCAGGATTAGCCGCAGTACTCGCATCAAGGAATCCGAGGTAAACAGGCTGCTCCAACAGCCCACTCGCAGGTATTGCAACGCTTTCATCAGCGGCGGTTCGGAGGCCTCTTGGTGCTCGGTTTGGAGGATGGTGTAGGTGACATTTGTTGCCTGAGGAGTTGGACAACTGAAGAGCAGAAGGCTACGGGTGTTAGGTGTGGGGCGCATCCTGGTACTATAGGTGCTATTCTGCTCCGGCTTTGGGTGGATGGGCTGGGGTCGATGCTTGTGACAAGCAAGAGCACAATCCAGCCATCTTGCCATGAAGCGTACCCGCGTCTCGTGCGACGCGAGGCAGCTTGGCCTTCGAAGGTGGCGGATGAGCATTTTAGCAGCCGGTCCTTGGCGCAGGACCGTCCGAATTTACATTATTACCACAACGACTGTTATATGAATATCTTAATTTCAAGTATTCTTGGAATTTGTTTACGGGTGGATGATCAAGTGTGGTCTTGGGCGTTCCAGAATCTTGGCCTTCGAGATTTGGATCCTATGAGAGGCTTGGACTGGGTTTATAGCATACAAGAAGCAAGAAAAGCGAGCACCAAGCACACAACACGACACGTCAGAATATGTTGTTTAGTAGTCTGACCTCCCCACCCCCGTCCCTCCCTCCCACCCCTTGGGAGCATCTCTCACATGGAGAGGGATCTGAGGTTCCCTCCGAGGATTTACCAAAGAAGTTTCTCGAAGGGCATTGAACCGCAAGAAAGCTAATTGTGGTCGGTGGCGACATTTCGTCTCATTCTTCAGGAAGCCTTATGGTCTAAACTCTTAGCCAGTCCAAAGCCTAGGCCACGAATCCTGCCTCAACGATGTATGGCAGTCGTTTTGTTACTGTGACTTCGGACTCGGAGGATCCATCATCAGTTTTTGTAATTAATTACACCTCCAGCACAACGAGGGCCCTACGGCAGGATTCCTGCCTGCTACGCCTTGATTGTTCACCTGGCAGGGCGACAGGGACATGAGGGCACAACGCGCGGCACGGTTCCAAACACACCTGCATGAAAAGGCTCCTGTCCACCTGGCAAGATTGTTACGACCTTGACGAAGGATGCCCAGAATAACGTCATTTTGTGTTTGCTTTGTTGTTGTTATTGTTGTTCTTGCTGGCTGTGGCGGCGGCGGTGGTGGTGCTGGTGCTGCTGCTCATGATGATGATGATGATGATGATGATGATGATGATGATGGTCATCATGGTGATGGTCACCATGATGATGATGATGATGATCATGATCATGATGAGGATGGTGATGATGATGAT